TGGGGAATTCTGGGAATTTAAAGTCCACACATCTGAAAGCTGCCACGGTTGAGAAGCACTGATCTATCCTATAAGAATAAGAAGGAAGGAAGAGAGCTTACTTGCCGGGTTCACGCATAGTTACCCTTGCTCAACCACGTTTTACTTAGTCAACTCAATTTTATGGGCTCGCATGATACTCAGAACCATAATCTAATTTCACTGGTTAGGTTCACAGAACACGATCGGTGAAATTGTGGTTGGCCCATTTGTGGTTCGGTATGTTGTGAGAATGCAACTAGTGTGTTGTCTGGAGCAACTCCAAACTATCTATGGTGTCAAAGTATTGCAAAATTCTTCCTCATAAAAGATCTTTATATAGATATGAAATGCAATCTATGTGTGGTTAATCTATTGGCTTGATTCTTGATATTTTATGGATATAGGCTATAATATCAGTATAGTATTGCAGTAATATTGAAAGCCTGACTGCATTTCCCTTTGCCTTCCTGTTATACCAAAGAGAATCAAGGCAGGATTTCTTTAGTTTCTTTCTCACACTTTCTTGTTTTCACCAGCTAACCATGTGTTTTATTAATGGTCGCTACATATTTTCTCCAAGGTCATCTCTGCGGCCCTCTACAGTAACGTCATCTCTTTCCCTTTTAATAAATCTTGATACAGAAAAGTCAATGAGAATCTAGTTTTTGCTAACGTTGGCTGCCTAGAGTCTGACAATTTTGTTCTGGAGTGACATCAAACTGAGAGGTCTGTTGTTTCCTGGGTCCGTTTCTTAAGTCCCTCTTTGAAAGTAGGAACAACATTTGCCCTTTCCCAGCTTATTTATTTATTCAACTTATCTGGCCACCTATCTCACACAAGTGACTCTGGGCAGTAAAACATCAATATAATCATAAAAATGATTATAATTATCATTATAATATACAAGAAGAATATAATAGAATGGCAGCCAAGAGTGAACATCGGTAATGATAACAATAACTAGAGCTCAGTTCTCCCTGTATATTTATCTTCCATGTTTTTTTCAAAGATAGGAGCTCTGAGATGCTTCTACAAGCTCCTTTAATATTCTCAGATGTAATTGATTTAGTCCTGGAGAACTGAACTTGTTCATAATAGCCAGGTGTTTTCTTTTATTACTTTAGGCAGTTATTCTGCTTAGATCCATTAGAACACAGTTCTCTTTAGGGAGAGATAGAAGCATCTTAAGAGCTGTTTATATTTATTATGAATGTTCATATAATAAAAGATGAAACAAAAGAAAAAAACCCAAAAAAAGTGCAAAAAAGAACAAGGAAACTAAAATTAAGAAATATATAAATTACTTCCAACCTTCTTTTCAACAGATAATTGCATTCTTATTGTCACTCCTCCCTCTTAAATATTTTATAGATCCTGTCGCCCCCCCACTTAGTCCTCATCTTAATCTTCAAATCCATAAATCATCAATTCATTTTTTTTTCTTCTTTCAGCGAAAAGTCCATATAAGTTTCCAGTCTTTCAAAACAGTTTTTGTTGTTTGTTCTCTGTTTTCGAACTTTTTTCTAGTTGAGGCACCTGTTAGTTTTAAAAAAAAAAATCCTGGAACCTCTGATGAAATGACCAAGCACTAGTGATAGAAAATTTGCAATAAAACAAAAATTGTGCTCATTGTAATTGGTTTATGCAAATGTATATGTTAAACTTACTTGAATTTCACAAAAAAAGAATGCCCCAATTACAGCAGTGGAATTTGTTTTGCTTTATTTTTTTTTTTACCTGTTTCTGTACTGTCAGCAGTTGTACCGGTTTGTAGCCAATAATCTATACCTGGAAAAATGTTCATATCATATAAATACTTATTAGGCCTAATAAAAACCAAAATAAAAATAATATGCATATACTGAGGGGCATATACGGTATCTAGGATGAATATGACAGTTTAATATTGTGGAGCTAACAATTTATGCAGGAAAATCAGAATTTGGAATGTTACTTAGAATGAATCCCTTACTTAGGAATGCTAATAGACTGGTGTACATAACCAGGATGTGCAGCATAATAATATGGATGGAAATAATGGCGTAACATAATAAAATTGGACTTTCTTCCATCGGGAATGCATGACTGAGGCCACTTAAGTGCTCATCTTCCTTATACCTGCCTGTCTTTGCAATTCTCACATATGTTAACTTCTGAAGAAGTTCCACTCCAGAGGGACTTAAAGAACACATGCCCTGCGGCCAAGCAATGCAATCCTATGCAGATCAGTGGAACTTAACCCAAGAGGCCACCTTAATTATTATGCAGACCTCTTGGAGACACACACATGCACGTACATAAATATTATCAGCGATGTGGAAAGTGAACAGGAAGAGAGGGTTCACTGAGATTGCTCTGTAAGAGTGAGTTAGAAATGTTTGTCTGAGTTGGTGGGCAAGCAGGGAATCAGGTTTTGTGCATGTGGTAAGAGAGAGGTAGCTAGTTGCCTCCTGCATGGAGTACTTACAAACTCTGGTGATGTATAGCAAATGAGAATGTTGAAGTGGAAGTGGATGGCTGAGCACAGTTGAGTTCCTTCCCTCTTAGGCCCTCCTGGAGAGAGTTTTTTCTCCCTTAGCCCTGTGGAAGCCATTCAAATCCTTGTGGAATCCTAGGCTTCTGTGGAACCCCAGTTTGAAAAATGTTAGGTTAGAGGAATATTGCATTTGGACATTTTTCAGCTTCCGTAGCATTTAATATAACTTCTTGTACTATCTGGAAGTGGAACGCTCTAGATCAGTGCTGGCAACTTAAACTCAAATCCCCAGAACTCCCTAGCCAGCACATTCACTGTGTAAAATTCTGGAAGTTGATATCCACACCTCTAGAAGTTGCTAAGCTGGGAAACATTGCTCTAAATGGTATTTCAGAAGGCATAAAGGACCGTAGTGGGATAGGGGAACTGGCAGAAATCATTTTATGTTAAAGATTATTCCCTTGAGCTTAGTGGTTGTTCATCCCAGGAAAAGAGAAGGCTGGTTCAAGCAATTTAGATTAAGTAATTTTGAATACAGCAATTATCAGTATATGGGCAGCTAAATCCTAATAAAATGCACATTGTTCAATAAACAAACTTGGAAGTAGCAGTTTTCAAGGCAGACAAAAGTCTCAGATTCAGTTATTAAAATTTATTTGGGCCAGTAAGACTGCCAAAGACTTTTTTGACTCCTGTCATTATTGGTGGCTGTTAGGGAATATACAGACTCCATAATCTCCAGTGCTTATTACAAAATCACTGCCTCCTCGCTGCAGACAATATGAGCCTTTAAAAGTATTATGACATCCAAGCTTTATATTAGAATGTTAAGAACACAGAATATCTTTATGGAATTACTGTTGAATATCCTTAAAGGATTCTTAAAAGGTTTTCTAGGTTCATTTAAAATTGGTTGCTCACTTAACTATTAGCTTTTTATTATTTTACATTTGGATACCAATATCAGTCTTCCACTGTTCGTTATTTACATAGGAACCAAAATGGGTTCACAGCTCCATAACAACCGATATTAGTAAATAATTACAAAATATATAAAATATAAAACTTCTAAAATGATGTGGTAATCCAGCAGTCACTTTGCATTTATTAAAAAAAAGAACAGGGAAAAATACAGTGAAGAAAAACTCAGTAATATGTAATGCCTCGTGAATTATAAGAAAAAAAATCTTGATTACTGGCAGATCTACAAATCAGATGGGATGGGTATAAAGGGAGAAGATATAGATATATAATTAATATACAAAGAAATATCTTAGGATCTTCTTTTATGTACCCCTGGTGCCATAAGCCTTAAGGAAAGAAGTAGAGGACTGTATAGTCTCTGCAAAGGGAAGGATTCCTGCTTGTCCTGGGAAGAAG